CACAATCATGGGTAAGACTGCCGACCTGACTGCTGTCCAGAAGGCCATCATTGACACCCTCAAGCAAGAGGGTAAGACACAGAAAGACATTTCTGAACGAATAGGCTGTTCCCAGAGTGCTGTATCAAGGCACCTCAGTGGGAAGTCTGTGGGAAGGAACAAGTGTGGCAGAAAACGCTGCACAGCCAGAAGAGGTGACCGGACCCTGAGGAAGATTGTGGAGAAGGACCGATTCCAGACCTTGGGGGACCTGCGGAAGCAGTGGCCTGAGTCTGGAGTAGAAACATCCAGAGCCACCGTGTACAGGCGTGTGCAGGAAATGGGCTACAGGTGCCGCATTCCCCAGGTCAAGCCACTTTTGACCCAGAAACAGCGGCAGAAGCGCCTGACCTGGGCTACAGAGAAGCAGCACTGGACTGTTGCTCAGTGGTCCAAAGTACTTTTTTCAGATGAAAGCTAATTCTGCACGTCATTCAGAAATCAAGGTGCCAGAGTCTGGAGGAAGACTGGGCAGAGGGAAATGCCAACATGCCTGAAGTCCAGTGTCAAGTACCCACAGTCAGTGATGGTCTGGAGTGCCATGTCAGCTGCTGGTGTTGGTCCACTGTGTTTTATCAAGGGCAGGGTCCATGCAGCTAGCTATCAGGAGATGTTGGAGCACTTCATGCTTCCATCTGCTGAAAAGCTTTATGGAGATGAAGATTTCATTTTTCAGCACGACCTGGCACCTGCTCGCAGTGCCAACACCACTGCTAAATGGTTTACTGACCATGGTATGACCTGAACCCCGTAGAGAACCTGTGGGATGTTGTGAAGAGAAAGTTGAGAGACGCCAGACCCAACACTCTGGAGGAGCTTAAGAACGCTATCGAAGCATCCTGGGCCTCCAGAACACCTCAGCAGTGCCACAGGCTGATCGCCTCCATGCCACGCCGCACTGAAGCAGTCATTTCTGCTAAAGGATTCCCGACCAAGTACTGAGTGCATAACTGAACATAATTATTAGAAGGTTGACTTTTTTTGTATTAAAAACACTTTTCTCTTATTGGTCGGATGAAATATGCTAATTATTTGAGATAGGAGTTTTGGGTTTTCATGAGCTGTACGCCACAATCATCAATATTAGAAACAATAAAAGGCTTGAACTACTTCAGTTGTGTGTAATGAATCTAATATATATGAAAGTCTGATGTTTATCAGTACATTACAGACAATAATGAACTTTATCACAGTGTGCTTTATCACATGCATGTGTGCATGTTATTTACTAATTTTGGTTGAGCTCCTGTAATGTTAAAATTTTATGGTTTTACTTTCATTGTTTTAACTAACTGTATTTTTATATGGAATTTTTATGGCGGCCTTCTTGGCCACCATAAAACCTTTGCAAAAGAGACTTGTTCCCAAAGGATTCCCCTGGTTAAATAAAAAAAATATATATGCAAAAATTTTTTAAAAGGACCTGTATTTGCTTTTCCCTTTGCCCGGTCTGTCAGGCTGTGAGGCAGGGGTGTCGAACTCAAATTCACACCGGGCCAAAATGAAAAACCTTTAGCTACAGACATGAACGGTTGAACCTTTTCATTTTGAAACAAACTTATTTTTGCAGTAACACTGAACGTGGAATAACCAAACTACACATGAGCAAGTCCATTTTAAATAACGCACACATCAGTGGTACTCATTACTTATGTCTCATTTTAGTTTAAATATTTAATTCCTTCAAATCTGCATATATCCAGCATTTCTTATTGTGTCTATTTTGTTTTATTCTTTATTTTTTACTCTCCTGTAATGAATGTTATTGCTGCTGTCACACCAAGCTCTCCCCACTGAGGGACAATAAAGGGATTTTCTATTTTATTCTTCTATTTGTGATCTGTCCTGTTTTAAAGTAGGTGAAATCTTTTCTCACAGGCCAACGACATGAATAAAAAACAGTATTCCTCTTAAATGGAAATGCAGTATCTCACCTATTAACTGTCATGCTTTGGAGCAGAAAAGGCTAACAAAACCAAAATAATTAAATCCCAGTTTTCTCCACTCTGGTTTCCTGTGAGGCTCACCTGTTCCAGCCAGACCTGCACCTGTGGGGTTGGGCTGTGGGCTGAGGAAGGAGTTCATCAGTGAGGAACAGCTGCTCACACAGGTTTGTGCTGCTGGACGTGGAGAGCATCTGGACCACGCAGTTGTGTCGGAGAGGGGGATAAAAGCTGCAGCAGCCACAGAGTCACAGTGACTTGAGAGTGTCGCTAAACTGGATTTAAATCATCTCGGTCGGGAAGGTCGGTGCTTTTCTTTGTCAGCAACAAACAGATTACTGAGCTGTTAAAATACATTTCTGGGCTTCAAAGTTGGCTAATTGCTGAGTAAACTCAGCGCTGAGTAAGTGTTCTCAGTTTGTCTGAGGAGCTAATGCTGCAGATGCTGACGCTAGTAGCATGGAAGCTAATACCGTTTTTTCTCCTTGAAGCATCAACATGTTCCATCTATGTTTATGTATTTAGCAGACGCTTTTGTTCAAAGCGACTTACAAGTGATAATCAGCATGTTGCCCTTGAGGCTAACAACAACAACAACAACAACAACGTGACATCAGTCATGGAGAGGAGGGAACAAGGAGTGGACAGTAGAGAGGGGACGGGTGCAGGGAGGGTGCTAGTTTAGAAGATGCTCTCTGAAGAGCAGGGTCTTCAGGAGTTAATTGAAAATTGAAAAGGAAGCTCCTGTTCTGGTAGTGCTTGGAAGGTCATTCCACATTTGTGGAACGATGCATGAGAAGAGTCTGGGTTGTCCTGAGCGTGGTGTAGGCACTGCTAGCCGACCATCCTGTGGTGACCGGAGCGGCCGGGCCGAGACGTAAGCCTTTGCAAGAGGATTCAGGTAGATGGGAGCCGTACCATCTCGGACTTTGTATGCTAGTGTTAGCTATTTGAATTTGATGCGTGCTGCTAGCGGTAGCCAGTGGAGCTCAATGAACAGAGGGGTGACGTGTGCTCTTTTGGGCTGATTGAAGACCAGACACGCTGCTGTCTATGTTGACATGCCTTCCTTCTGCATCAACCTCTCTCCTCCTGGACATGTCGGGATGATGTGTGGAGTTATTTTTACTTGTTGCATTAATTAAACATGGAAGTGGCGAGTCACTGCACTGGGAACACAATCGCCAAGCATTATGGGAAATGTAGTTTATAGCCAATGTGCACTTTGAAGCAGCATGGACTTATTTTAAGTCCCAATCCCAACACTCACACCCTGGCGCACTTCATCTACGCGTTCCTGGCCAGGGGTGAGAGTTCGTAGGATGTCCTGGCTTTCAAGTGCAGAAGTTGACCACGCCCCCATTGCACCCTTAATCTGCCCTTCACCCAAGTCCGCAGCAAGGCAATTACCCACAAGTCACTGCTGCAGGAAAAAAGCTCAAGTTCCTTTTCAGAAAATACGTATTTTCTAATGAAATTAGTTCATTTTAGGGTGATTAGTTGATGCTCTGAATGTTTTAGAGAAAGCAGCAATGAAGTTAAATTCATTTCAAATAATTGCTTTATTGTTTGTTTGAGTTGTTAATAAAAGTTTCTGAAGAGTTTGACAGCGACCAGCATCCTGGCGTGTGTTGAGATCGATGACGCAATGCTCCCCGTCTCAATTTGGTAATTATTTGCACACTTGTGTCCTACGCACTCGAACCCTACTGCACTTTCTCCTAGTGCACTTTGCTGAAGTCCGCAGGGCGAGTAGGGCCACATCTGACCTGCGGGCCTCGTGTCTGACACGTGTGCTGTAAAGCATCAGAACAGACGTCCGAGTGAAGACGAGTCGAGCTGGACTCTCCCAGATGGAGCGCTACAGCTGATCACCCCACATCGAACGCTCCTTAGAGAAGAATAGCTGTTTACAGTATGGAACAACAGAAAAGTCATCTGTTTATGGAATTACGTCATTTCTCTGGATCAAAGGCCCTTCGTGTAAAGACTGAGCTGCCAGTTCACAAAGAATAGACTCAATATTTCATTAACGACTAGAACAAACACGCTTGGTGACGTGACCTCAGGTCGAACACTTTCCCAATCCTAAACATCTTAGCTGCCATTTATTACTGAAAAAAAATCATAAAAATTGAAAATCTTATAAAGAAAATATCATGTGGGATTATAATCTTATTTTAGTGTCTCCAAATTTAATGATTTTTAAATAAAAATGTTCACATCAAATGACCCAACTACAGTTACATGAAAACATCTGTATGTAGTCAGACAGCTACCACAAACTTCTGATGAACAAGGGTTAGGGTTGTTATATTCATCACACCGGATGTTTGGTACCAGTGTTTACCAAAAACCATAAGATCCATATTTCACCCTCAACAGTCTCAGATGTTCATGTCTTCATTTGGAATGATATCCTATCTTTGCACGTAACGCTCACTAACCCAGTCATTAAAGTTATCCACCGTTTTCTCCTCACACCTCCGTGAGCTCGTGTGGACTCGGTGGTCTCCTTTAAACTCACCTGCTCAGGCTTCGGTCTGATCCTCCCTCTCCTTGTTCTGCTCTTATTCCACAGATGTCTCTCTCTCCTATTCATGTTCTCTCCCTTTCCTTACATTTTATTTATTTTCTCCTTTTAAACATATCTTTAATCATTTTTAAATCTGTTTCTACTTTAACTTTTTGTGCCTCGTGATTTTTATCTTGAAACGCCGCATAAAAGACCTTCATCTTCTTCTGCTGCTTTACCTTCTTCAACACTTTGGTACCAAGCATTTTAACCGTTCCTTCAGCAGTAGAAGAGCGTGCTACATCATCTCAACCCAACATCACCCTGAAAACAGGTTTTAGGTCACAACCCCTCAGCTGAGCACCTGTCAGGAGGAGCGAGGCCGCCTCCTTCAGCTGCTCAGGTGTGTTGGCTCTCCAGCCAGCAGCCTTCTGACAGAGCAGCAGCGCCACTCAGTGGACAAACCCAGCAACTGCAGGCACATCTACACCCAGCACAAACGGTTTGATAGAAAAACGTTTTAATACAAAATCTACTGTACAGGTTCACTTATTTTACACAACAGCACGAGACAGGTAACCACAGGTGAGAGCAGGGTGTCAACATCACAGATGACCTCACATTTATGTCAGAAGCACGTTAAACTGAACTACTGGGTAGAACACACACACACACACACACACACACACACACACACACACACACACACACACACACACACACACACACACACACACACACACACACACACACACACGAAGGGGGTTTTAGGAGGCTGAATAAAAATCCGAGGCTCTGTAAAACTAAAGGAGTCCATCTCATCCCAACTTCCTGTAAATCCCCACCAGCACACAAGGATGCAGCAGTGGGTCACATGAGCGCCACGCTACATCCCATCGTTCCCAAGTGCAGTCACCATTTGTGTAGAAACCAGTGAGAACAGAGCCGCTCAGCCCACTCGCCGGGTCTGGGTCGTGGTGCTGAAGAGCTGGACTGAACTCTAAATCATCATAAAGCAGCGAGGCGTTTGGTTCTCGGCTCACCCAGGACCGACGCTCTGCTGACCAGATTAGATTGCTGCTAATCTGAGATTAGCCCATGCAGGACGCCTCCACCTAGCAATCCCAACACCCAGCATGTGCTCTGCTCATCTTAGGAAACATTCCTCCACCTGCAGCTAAAGCACCACCGTCCCAGAGACCAGTGCTCCCAGTAACTCTTCTCCATCCTGCATATGAAACCTGGTTTGTAAACTCAGCTGCTCCGCCTCTCTATGGAAACGTTAGAAATCCTAGCTTAGCCCAACAGCCTTAGTTCAGAGAAACGGAGAGGACACCCTTCAGCTCTGACGGCTAATCTACTGGATTACTCTAAACCTCGACGGGTTATTTTCCTCTCTGACTCATCGCTAGTGTTTATGCTGGTTAAGAACAACGTCACATGACCTGCTGTACAGTATTGGAGATACTCACCTAGCCATTAGCTCATCAGTCGTGAAAGCTATGAACTCTACTTCTCCAAACTCAGGCTGTTCACCTGCAGTATTCATTCCTGTAGCCTTTCCAGACCAAAACCAGCATGAAAACGGCTGAAAGTCTTCCTGTATCCTGGAAGGTAACGCAGGACGAGACGAGGCAAACATCAGCTCCCAAAAGGACTCCAACCTCCCGACAACAAACACGAGCACGCGAGGTGCCGACAGCAGGCAGGAAGCTGCTGCCCTCCCAAAGGTCACCTGACTAAAACACAGCTGACCTGCACGTAGGCCCTGAAGGAGGGATGAAGACACCTACACACACACACACCTACACACACACACACACATCTGTGCAACAATAAAAACTGAACTAAGGAGATTAGCACGGCTCTACGGCCTCACAGTGAAATAAGCTGTACTCTGCAGAGGTCCCGGTCCCCTCCGAGGTCCGGCGAAGGCTTCAGGCTTCAGTCAGACCACCACGGATGCTGAGGAAGAGTCCTGCTGAGAGAGGGAAAGTGTGGGCTCCAGTAATCAGATTACAACATCATCAAGGTGAATGATGTGGTTTTAAACTCAGAAGAACCTTTCTTACCAGAATAAAAACAAGGGCCGGACTCACACACAGCAGAGTCAAAACGACTCCAACTTAAAGATGCAAAAGTTCATCTGAAACCTAATTAGCTTCATTAGCTTAGCCGTGGGAGTTCAACAACAGTGCATGAATAGAAACTTCAAAGTTCTTCCTCAGACATTCTCCTGCAACGCCGCGGTCCTGCAGAACCATCCCTGGCCTTGTTACTGCGACTGCCTCTGCATTCCTGTAACACACCAGCGATGCAGCGTCATGCTGATGATGTCATCCACGCTCGGGCGTCTTAGCTTAGCGGCCAAGCGAGAGGCGGTTTTGGTAGCATGGATTCAGCCAAGAACAAGAAGAGCTGCTTCAGGCACCAGCGAAACTCCAGCGCAGACCCCAGACAGGACAAAGACTCCAGAACGACTAAAAGGCCAAAGCAGGCCGAGTCTGATCACCAAAGGCAAAGAACAAGAAGACGCATCGGTCCAGCAGGAGTGGAACACGCCGAGTCTCGGTATGACAAACGACCTGCAGTCTTGAAGCTAAGCTAACACACGATTACTACATGGGTGGAGAGAACTTTCCAGGTCCTGCACTCATCACACGCTCCTGTGTTCAGCACCAGAACGCCACCGGTGTGAGGGGTTCTCTGCTCAGTAACACCAGAGGAGGAGAAACAGCCGCTGCTACCGCTTCAGCTTTAGGACAAACTACCAGAGTCCCAAAAAGAAAATCACCGTCTGAAGTCACGGACAACATTCCTCTGGGAATGTGGGTTGCTGGTATCAGGGGGCGTGGCCTAGGGACAGGGGGCGTGGCCTAGGGATGCTAGCCGATGGGAGGGGTGAGAGTTGCATGACCATGCTTGTATTTAAAAGCTAGCTTGTTTTGCAGACTTGTGAACGGTTTATTCGATTCCTGCAACTAAAGTTCAGACGGCTTCTGAAAAAGTCCGAAACTAACAACGAGTTTAATTATAAAAGCAGGATTTTAAATGTTTTCTTACCTTAGAAACCTTAAAAACGTCCGTGTGAAAAGTAAACTCTGGTGTTTTCATCACCAGCCCTGAGCGGTTTACCTGTACACACACACACACACACACACACACACACACACACACACACCTGGTTAACCCTGCAGCAGAGGGTGTCTCCAGAAGAACGGAGGGAGTAGAAACCGCTGAAGGGGTGGCTCACCGCTTGCAGGATGACGTTCTCCTTCCCGAGCCGGCGGACGGGCTCGGGGGAGAGGTGTCTGACCCGCCTCTCTCCAGTCAGCTGCTCGCCCCGAGCTCTACGCTGGTGCAGCAGCAACAAAACAGGAAGTGATTGCGAGCTCTGAGCGATAACGACTACTGCTCACCTGATGTGTCATCACTTACCTTGATGAGGCCACCAAAGGAGCGGGATCGAGGGTGCTTCTTGGTGGGGGGGGTTTGGTGACCTTCGTTAGGAGGGACGGCTGTCTGTTTGACTAACTGAACAACAACACACATGACATCAGACCAGAACACACAACGTAGTTATTTACGACCACGTGGACTCCACCTGGCGAACTAGTTTCTTCTTCTTGGCAGAGTCGGGCATGTTGTGGTGAACGTGTCTGAAGAGCTCCTTCAGGGCCTCCTCGGTGTACTGTTGAGCTGGTGACTGGTGCTGGTCCTGGGAGGCGGGGCCCAGAGCAGCGGTCCTCTTCAGAGGCAACACTGTCCTCTGGGCAGAACCGCCGTTTGCTGCCAGCAGACCCAGATCGTCCTGAGGGACCACAGACAGGTCAGAGGCTCCACCCACCAGGGACACGCTCCGCTGTCTTCACTCCAGCGTCAGACACGAGCAGAAATACCGTACTGACCTTGGTCTGAAGACCCGTGGAGCCACTGAAGTGGGCCTTGGCGTATTCCCTCAGATAGACTGGAGCCTGAACACAGGTCAGACCATCATCATGTGTCTATAACCCATCATACTTACTGTTCTGTGTGTGTGTGTGTGTGCGTAGGAAGGAGTCCTTGGCAATAACGGGGTTGGGTTGGGCAGGATAATGTGAATGGTATGAGGTTACTAGCCCTTTAATAACCGATAACTTCTGAATAACATGCATAAAGCACATGAAGCAGTCCACAAAACTCCATCTAAAATGGCCGCTAGAAGCTCGACAGGATGTGCAACGCGCTACGCCAGCCATGCAAACGGAATGGTGGAGAGCAAGGGTGCAGATAGAAACGACGTGCAGCTTCTACGATGCTGCCAAAGCCAGCAGTGCTGCAACTACTTATAGACTCCTAAAACCTTAAAACAAGAATAATATCATTGACCTACTGAACCGGAGTGCTGATGTAGAGCACACCGTTCTGTCTGACATGCTCGAGCATCCACAACCAGCCCCCAGCACTGGTGGAGGCGAAGAGCCATCCACTCGCTCTCCCGGCTCTGATTTAGGTCCTGCAGGACTTCTACAGAAAGGTGGGTACCTTTGTACACGAGCCCTCCACTAGGGCTGCAACGAATGATGATTTGGATCATCGATGAATCGGACTCGACTTGATTTATGGGATTAACCGGGAAGAATCACAAACATGCAGGGAAACGTGTTTTCTCTGCTTCCTTTCCTTTAACAACAGGATTAGAAATCAGTTCATTAACGTGCAAAACAGCATGCCATCACCTACTCGTGTCCCTGATTAAACACGTTGTGTACTTCTTTAACATGTTCAGGAGGAGCTGCTGGAAATGCCAAAAACATTTCATTTCAACCTGATGCCAGCACCAGCAGCAACACTCTGCTGAACGGCGTTCATAGAGCTGCTCAACAGCAGCTAGGGTGGTTTGAGGCCCGCTCTCTGCTGTCATCAGCCTCCATCCTCACACTCTCCCAGAGCTTTGGGAAGTGATGGACTCGGGTTTACTTTGTTGCAGTCAAACACTTTCCATGTTTCAGCTCTCACGATGAAGTGTTGTTGAAAGGAGACGCGTCTCGTCCACTCATAACACGACTTGGGCTCAGTCACGTGACCCGCAGCGGCACATAGGGATACTTTAATACTTTTTTTCTGATATCGGTATCAACCGAACGTTTCCACTCAGTCCCAAAGAAATCCAGAGGTCTGGCACCAGTCGACCTTTCTCATGGTGCTGAGATGTTCTACGTTTGTCCTCTGCTGGAGGTCTGTGTGGTCCATGCTACGCTAACCGGTTGTATCACTGCTGGAGCGCAGAAGCTTAATACGTCACGTGTTCCTATTGTGACCCGGGCAGCGCTACCTTCTCAGTTATTGGATCCGCCACATTTAAGACCCCATGGGAAGCCTGTGCTTACTCGGTTACATCTTAATCATTATCCTCTCCTGATAATAACTTTTTACTCTCTCCGACGTTGGATGTGCTACTACTAGTTTACCCGTTTAATTATAGATCCACTAGATAAATACAATAAAGTTTATCTCTCACCAAATAGAATATTTACTAAGACATCACAATATAACCGTGTGCGTGTGTGTGTGTGTGTGCGTGTGTGCGTGTGTGTGTGTACACACCCTGAAGAGCTTCTGTGACTGTTTGATGAGGAACGCCATGCTGTTGTTCAGTGTCTTCAGATTGTCTTTGAGGTCACCAGCGGTCATCTGAAACAGCGTGAGAGGAGAAGATTCAGCAGAGACGTTCAGGTCCGACACGGACAGGTGCAGCTTCAGCAGGAGGTCAGCTGACTTCCTGGATCTGTTCTTCCAATGACGATCCCAGGATCATAGAGACATCATTTCCACTCATGGATCTGGACCCTATCCCTACTGGGAATCTTTGGGATGGCGCGAGAAGGCTCTGAGCAACTGAAACTCGGCATTTTAAAACATCCTCGTGCCTCAGGTGTAAGACTTCAGACCACAGGAAACATCCTCTGGTTTGACATTTTCCTGAAACCTGAAGCTTTTTTCCATGGTCTGAAGTCTGCCACCTGAGGATGTCCTAACATGTACACCGCAGGGAGGTGTCCCTATGAGCTTCATCCTGAGTGCTGAGACCCTGGTCCCTAGATAAAACCAGGACACCACGGATTTGCTTCATCCAAAGTAAGTGGACAGCGTGACACGAGAGAGCAGTTCTTACATGTCTGGGACAGAGGACATGAGGAGAAAACATGAGGGCCAGGTTGAAGGCAGACATCTTGTTCTTGTCCTGGAGCTTGGCTGTGTGGTAGAGCAGATCCAGCAGCAGCTTGAGCAGCGACCGGTTGGCCTGAGGCAGCAGCAGGAAGAGGAGCTGCAGCGCCTCGATTTGACGCTCCTTATTGGGTGTTGTAGTCTTGTTGCCTTGCTCATCAAGCAGAGTCATGTCTGATAGAAGGGAAGACTAGTCAGTGTGTGTGTGTGTGTTTGTGTGAGTGTGCGTGTATGTGTGTGTGTGTGTTTGTGTGAGTGTGCGTGTATGTGTGTGTGTGTGTGTGTGTGTGTGTATGTGCGTGTGTGTGTGCGTGTGTGTGTGTGCGTCAGTGCGTGTGCGTGTGTATGTGTGAGTGTGCGTGTGTGTGTGTGTATGTGTGAGTGTGCGTGTGTGTGCGTGTGTGTGTGTATGTGTGAGTGTGCGTGTGTGTGCGTGAGTGCGTGTGTGTGTGCGTCAGTGCGTGTGCGTGTGTGTGTATGTGTGAGTGTGCGTGTGTGTGTGTGTATGTGTGAGTGTGCGTGTGTGTGCGTGTGTGTGTGTATGTGTGAGTGTGCGTGTGTGTGCGTGAGTGCGTGTGTGTGTGCGTCAGTGCGTGTGCGTGTGTATGTGTGAGTGTGCGTGTGTGTGCGTGAGTGCGTGTGTGTGTGCGTCAGTGCGTGTGCGTGTGTATGTGTGAGTGTGCGTGTGTGTGTGTGTATGTGTGAGTGTGCGTGTGTGTGCGTGTGTGTGTGTATGTGTGAGTGTGCGTGTGTGTGCGTGAGTGCGTGTGTGTGTGCGTCAGTGCGTGTGCGTGTGTGTGTATGTGTGAGTGTGCGTGTGTGTGTGTGTATGTGTGAGTGTGCGTGTGTGTGTGCGTGAGTGCGTGTGTGTGTGTGTGTGTGTGTGTGCGTGAGTGCGTGTGTGTGTGTGTGTGCGTGAGTGCGTGTGCGTGTGTGTGTGTATGTGTGAGTGTGCGTGCGTGCGTGTGTGTGTGTGCGTGTGTGTGCGTGTGTGTGTGCGTGTGTGTGTGTGTGTGTGCGTGTGTGTGTGCGTCAGTGCGTGTGTGTGTGTGTGTGTGTGTGCGTGAGTGCGTGTGTGTGCGTGAGTGCGTGTGCGTGTGTGTGTGTATGTGTGAGTGTGCGTGCGTGCGTGTGTGTGTGTGCGTGTGTGTGCGTGTGTGTGTGCGTGTGTGTGTGCGTGTGTGCGTGTGTGTGTGCGTGTGTGTGTGCGTCAGTGCGTGTGTGTGTGTGTGTGTGCGTGTGTGTGTGTGTGCGTCAGTGCGTGTGCGTGTGTATGTGTATGTGTGCGTGTGTGCGTGTGTGTGTGTGTGTGCGTCAGTGCGTGTGCGTGTGTGTGTGTGTGTATGTGTGAGTGTGCGTGTGTGCGTGTGTGTGTGCGTGAGTGTGCGTGTGTGTGTGCGTGTGCGTGTGTGCATGTGTGTGTGTGCGTGTGTGTGTGTGTGTGTGTGTGTGTGTGTGTGTGTGTGTGTGTGTGTGTGTGCGTGTGTGTGCTCCTACCAGCTATCTTGAGGTGAACGTGGAAGTGTCTGTGTGTCAGCAGGGGCTCCGGCAGCTCTCCCAGGAAGGTCTTCAGCAGCGTGGCCACATCGTTGGGATGAAACTCTCCAGACTCCAGGTGAACATCAGCTCCACTGTTGAGGAGCTCCTTCAGGGTCTGCTGCCGAGCGCTGTTCCCCGGCACCCGGAACAGCCCCTCCACGTGTAGATCTACGCAGCAGAAATAGACGTCGTCATTGCGTCCCGAAGCATAGAAATGTGTCTCCGCCGTGCAGCCTGACGCGGGTTCAATGAAAGCAGGACAAGAACAGATGCAGGTCGACCAGAAGAGCAGCCATCTGAAGAGGGTTTCACGAGGATGGGGGGGGGGGGGGCTCCTTGCAGCATCCGTGTGCTCATCACTTGAGTTCCAGGTGGTTCCATGACCTTCACCAGGTCATATTTCCCATCGGGCTTGGGGGATTCCACGATGTCCGTCTGTGGGGAATCTTCTCTTCAGCCTCAGACTGAAGGTCAGCAGATTCCGATAGGATTTGTTTTGGGACAGAGATAAATGTATTCCCTGCCTTACCGTTCTGTTGGACTCAGCTCCAAGAAGCCACATACTGGTGTTTAAGCTTCTCCACGCCGTGCTTGGACACTGTCTCCATGGTGATGTCCACTTCTTGTGTCAAAGATGAATCGCAGCCAAAGACTCAAGCTTGCAATTCATTAAGACAGTAGTCTGAGTCTGTGTGTTCACAGCACGGTGACCTCCATCCCTGAGCTCGGGAGGCATTCCAAGCACCCAAAAGCTCCTTACATTTCCCTCACACCAGATAATCGCCCATGCCAAAAAGCTGAAATCAACACTGCAAAACTCCATACATCTTCCATGTCCTCAACAGAAAGCTGGGAAAGGCACATTACATTCCACTTGTTCCAGGAATCCAAAAGATTCCCAACCGGGTGCATTCCATCTGGACATGTAGGAGCCCCTTCCTCTGATCTCATTGTTGAGAAGATGTTGTTAATTACGACCCGGGGTCTCATTGATCAAACATGGCGTGGCATCCTTACTAGAACCGTACTTAAGCTCAGCAAACAGGTACGAGTGATAATGCTGCTGGAATTCACCTCATCCTTCTCAGCTGGTGAACGGACCGCTACACAGGAGGCTGCAGTGGGTCTGTGGACCTGTCAGCATCTTACGTGGAGAAGGCACCGCCTCGTAAACATTAAAAATCAAGAAAAGTTTTAATTTTCTTCTTCTTTACTAACAGAGGGCACCCCCTACAGGCAGACATAATGTATTGCACCTTAAGCTTCCATAACTATGGCTGGAAACACCTCTGGGCTGTGAACACACACCTGTAGCAGGCTAATCCCATTTCCTGCACAAGGAATATCGGTGTGACACACACCGCTGTGGAGGACACACCTACAGAACTGTAGAAACTTACTTTTGCTGAGGTATTCAATCAGCTGGTAGACCTGGGCGAGGCAGCTGTCCGTCAGCGGAGTCCCGAAGACGATTCCTTTATCTGTGGAAGCATCACATCAAGAGCTTGAGTTATGACATCATCAGAGAGCAGCGCTGATGTTTCAGAAGCTGGAAGTTGAGTTCAAGCAGCTGCTGAAGGTAAAGACAGCGTTGGGTTTCCATCACTTCAAGTCATCCATCAGTCACATCACTTGTGTACTTGTGGGTTTAGCACGTGTCATAACTACAAAGCTGTTGTCCAAACTCAAAGTTTTCAAGTAGGAATCCTCTTTGCTGCTAAAATATAAAAGTAAAACCCCACATGAGTAAGAAATTCTCTTACAAGGTTTTCTTTGTAAAATACTGTCAGTATTCATGTCTTTATTACAGATCAGGGACCTCGTTTATAAACAGGTGGGCCGTCGGGGTAACGCTTCGAGTGTGTAGTACGCGAGTGTTATTCCCAGACCTGTTCTACATATATTTGCAGCACATGGGCAGAGAGCTCTCCAATGCTCCAACTGCAGGAAGCAGCAGAAACAGTAAATAGAGATCGCAGATGGTTGAAAGCTCATATGTGGTGTAGGGCTCGGCGACCTCGGCAACATGGCCGAAAATCAGTGTCACGGTATACAGGTCCTTCTAAAAAAATTAGCATGCTGTGATAAAGTTCATTATTGTCTGTAAAGTACTGATAAACATTAGACTTTCATATATATTAGATTCATTACACACAACTGAAGTAGTTCAAGCCTTTAATTGTTTCTAATATTGATGATTGTGGCGTACAGCTCATGAAAACCCAAAACTCCTATCTCAAATAATTAGCATATTTCATCCGACCAATAAGAGAAAAGTGTTTTTAATGCAAAAAAGCCAACCTTCTAATAATTATGTTCAGTTATGCACTCAGTACTTGGGTCGGGAATCCTTTAGCAGAAATGACTGCTTCAGTGCGGCGTGGCATGGAGGCGATCAGCCTGTGGCACTGCTGAGGTGTTCTGGAGGCCCAGGATGCTTCGATAGCGGCCTTAAGCTCATCCAGAGTGTTGGGTCTGGCGTCTCTCAACTTTCTCTTCACAACATCCCACAGGTTCTCTACGGGGTTCAGGTCATACCATGGTCAGTAAACCATTTAGCAGTGGTGTTGGCACTGTGAGCAGGTGCCAGGTCGTGCTGAAAAATGAAATCTTCATCTCCATAAAGCTTTTCAGCAGATGGAAGCATGAAGTGCTCCAACATCTCCTGATAGCTAGCTGCATGGACCCTGCCCTTGATAAAACACAGTGGACCAACACCAGCAGCTGACATGGCGCCCCAGACCATCACTGACTGTGGGTACTTGACACTGGACTTCAGGCATGTTGGCATTTCCCTCTGCCCAGTCTTCCTCCAGACTCTGGCACCTTGATTTCTGAATGACGTGCAAAATTAGCTTTCATCTGAAAAAAGTACTTTGGACCACTGAGCAGCAGTCCAGTGCTGCTTCTCTGTAGCCCAGGTCAGGCGCTTCTGCCGCTGTTTCTGGTTCAAAAGTGGCTTGACCTGGGGAATGCGGCACCTGTAGCCCATTTCCTGCACACGCCTGTACACGGTGGCTCTGGATGTTTCTACTCCAGACTCAGTCCACTGCTTCCGCAGGTCCCCCAAGGTCTGGAATCGGTCCTTCTCCACAATCCTCCTCAGGGTCCGGTCACCTCTTCTGGCTGTGCAGCGGTTTCTGCCACACTTGTTCCTTCCCACACACTTCCCACTGAGGTGCCTTGATACAGCACTCTGGGAACAGCCTGTCCTTTCTGTGTCTGACCCTCTTGCTTGAGGGTGTCAATGATGGCCTTCTGGACAGCAGTCAGGTCGGCAGTCTTACCCATGATTGCGGTTTTGAGTAATGAACCAGGCTGGGAGTTTTTAAAAGCCTCAGGAATCTTTTGCAGGTGTTTAGAGTTCATTAGTTGATTCAGATGATTAGGTTAATAGCTCGTTTAGACAACCTTTTCATGATATGCTAATTATTTGAGATAGGAGTTTTGGGTTTTCATGAGCTGTACGCCAAAATCATCAATATTAGAAACAATAAAGGCTTGAACTACTTCAGTTGTGTGTAATGAATCTAATATATATGAAAGTCTAATGTTGATCAGTACTTTACAGACAATAATGAACTTTATCACAATGTGCTAATTTTTTGGTTTCCCACCCTGGTCCTCACGGCACTGTCCTGCATGTTGTCCATGTCTCTGCTTCAGCACGCTTGATTTACATCAAGTGCTGCAGATGCCTGTTAATCACACATTCATTTAGGTCAGGTGTGTGGCAGCAGGGACACACTGGTGTTTACCAGGGCAGCATGGAAAACAAGCGGGACTGTGTGCCCTGGGGACCAGGGTTGGGAAACACTGCATTAAATCATATCTCAGGCATCCCTGAGCAACATCATTTAGATGTCATTAAAACGACCTGCCTGCTTCTTCTCATTTGTGTCAGCCATGACCTCACCCCTGCAACAAAGCTGTGTCTCAAAGGCAATAAGAGCACGTCCAGTGCCTCTACCTCACACAAAAGCACCTCAATACAACCTTGTAAATAACTTGAAAAGACAGGAAACTTTCCAAGCACTTAACTGAATGAACAGTATCCCCCAGATGTGGCTAAGATGATCTCTGACCTTTGCGTTTGAGGAAGTTGAAAGAACGAAAAAAAACTCCACTTCCACCCGTCGGGTTCTTAGGTCCCTCCTCACCAAGGAGCTGAGAAAACTCGGCCCCAGGAAGATCAATTAGGCGGGTTATGTTACTGAGCACCAGCTCCAGGAACACATCAGGGGTCTCATGGCGGAGTTTCTCCACAAAGAAATCTGGGTTGAAGACAACTGTTGGTTGGCTCACTCTAGAGGGACCGGGGGACTCCTCGTGGTTGATGACCATGCTGCACACCGTCCCTCTGAGTGGGACACAGAAAGATGAGGCTATTATCAAACCGAATGACAGTATCAGGGTCTGACTGGATGCATTCCACACTTCAGCCCATCAGGACCCACAGATCCACCCCCCAGGAGATCCCAAGGGTCGCTCAGGGCTCCAACAGTGCTCCCAGTCTAGACTTCCACCACTTCAGACCCATAGATGTTTATGCGTAAACAATCGGTCCTTGTCAGGTGACATATCGGGTGCTGTAGCATGTTGCATGATGGGATAGCTAGGTGAATAAACAAAGGAAGAGCGGGGCGCTTTGTGTGTTGTGAGCTTATAAACCTGCAGAAAATGTACACTCCTGTTGTGTGAAGGGCTGCCGTGCTATCTTCACAGGAAGGAAAACAGTTAAATGTAGGTCGGGATTGATGAAATGCAGCTGACCTCTGGTGTAGGTGATGTTTCCGTACCTGCTTGTAGCTTATATTAACACCTGGTTCAGTTAAGGCCCATGCAGAATAAAACCTGGGTTGGTGCTGTCATGTTTCTGGACGGCTACTCTTTACTTTTACTTGATTACAAACATGTTGAAGTAGCGCTACTCTTACTCAGGTGATTACTCAGCAGTACTGTTTGTTTCCTGTCATACACCTAAAATGGCGCTGAGGGGGTGTGGTTGACATGCAGGTCGCGTGTCTGACAAGGACCGATAGGGATGTGTACTGGTGATATGCTGACGATACGATACTCATCACAGTAAGGAGAGATGATACGACATATATTGTGATACATTCAGCCAGACAATCTACATTTCAGTGGTGGAAACAAAACCCACTGAACACTGCTGCCAAATAGCGGCCGGCGTTTGAATTGTTTAAAAGAAAAGAAAGAAAAAACTAAAACTAAAACTAAAAGAAAAAAATACACAAATGCTTGCATGGAAAATTTTCCAAAAACTCAATACACAGCTTCTGAAAATCGATATAATATCGCAGTGGGAAAAAATCTCGATATATTACCATAACAATATTTTCTTACATTCCTAATAAACAATATTATGTAGAGAAATAAATGGAGTTGGGAATGTGCTCATGAAAACAGTTACCTGATGAATGTCACAGGTTCAAGGATGTCTTCAATAATAAGATGTTTACTCTGTCCAGGTGTGCAGCAGTTTAGAGTAAAGACACTTTATTTCAGCTAACTCAGGATCTAAAGGTCGGTTCTCATTCAGACCGCGACACGCTCGCTGACAGCGTTAGCACCGGAGAGTAACGGGGATGGAGAAAGGCACCGGGCCTTTTACCCTGGAGCTCATCTGGAGCCAAGCGGGGAAAGAACAGGTCTTCACCCAAAACAGCCAACTGTTACTAACGCACGAGCTGGCCCCTGAAAGCGAACAGACCGCAGAGTTGTTAAAACGGAGCTATTGATGAGAACCCTGCGGATGTTTTGCATAAAGGTTAGCTTAACAGCTACAGAGAGCGCGCAGTCTGACTCGCGGAACAAACGCTGCTAATGTTAACGTTTCACACGTGCACGAAGGTCTACGTAACCAACAAACACGCAGCAACTGAGAGAAATGTGCTTTTTACCTCCTGTTCTGACTGCTTTCGTCCGCATCTTTCCCCGCCGCCATCTTCAGTTTGAATCCTGCGCTGTTGTCCTCCAAGCTCCACCCACATTTACAGCTATTGGTTGTTTGTTGAGAGAAGGCGTGACGCAATGGTCGATGATTGGCCGATTTGAATTTATGACCCTTTTTACGTAACATGACGCTTATCCCTCTTTCACCGTGATAGACGTCAATTAATTCGCTCATTAAAACAATTACAAACATTTTTAATATCCTCGACCAACATTCCCCACAACTAAGACTGGGATTTTTTTCTGTTTCATTGAGATAGAAGGCTAGAAAGAAAGAAAGAAAGAAAGAAAGAAAGAAAGAAAGAAAGAAAGAAAACAATCATTTCTATAGCGCCTCTCAAGATAAAAATCACGAGGTGCTTCACAAGAACAAAAATGTAAAATATGAAAATTATTTTAAAAAATGATTAAAAATATATTTAATATGACAAAAATTTACAATTGTGAACCAAAAATGTAAGGAAAAGGAGAGAGAAAGTGAATAGGAAAGAGGGACATCAGTGGATCGCGGGAAAGGCGTTGCATGGGTGACTGACAGTCATTGGTAGTGTTATGCGTTGCTCGTATATATGTCGATTGTTGCTCCTTTTCATTTGGTTTGGTCAGTTATTGTTGTTGTTGTTGTTTTGTGCAAGTCAGCTGCAGCTCCTCCCAGGTGCCCCGCCCCACTGTGGCGTTCTCTGGAGTGTCCCAGCTGATTGCAATCTTCCATTAACACTCTGATTTAAGCCACGGGTTCCAGTTCTCTGTGTGGCGTTGTCTTGCACAGTTTTAGTGCCAGTGTGCATTGTGCTAGTTCTTTCGGGCATTACTTTTGGATTAGTTTTTCCCACTGTGTGGAGGGATTTTTTGTTATTAAAAACACTGAACCTGAGCCAAGTGTTGTGGTCCCTGAGCTTGGGTTACTGCCTGAACCCCACTGTGACATGTGGTTTTCGTCCTGGCCGTGAAACACTGGACCAGCTCTATACCCACCAAACAATCAATGTTGCATGGACGTGCAGATCAAGTCTATATTGAGTCCATCAGTCTAGACCAATTGAGACGTCACCTGGATGTGCAAACCAGGTCCATTTCTTGGATGTCTAAATATGACCCCTCTTGGATGTCAATAAAACGTGAAACACGTGAACCATGGGTTGGGTAACTTTTTTTGGATGTCATGGCACATCTAAAACAGGTGCAAGAAATAAAAAATGCAGAAAATATTGTTGCTCACTGCTCAAAGACACGTGGTAGGGACGTCATATCCAGGTCATTTCCCTCACCGTCCTTTATTGCATGCAGAATATCTATCTATCTATCTATCTATCTATCTATCTATCTATCTATCTATCTATCTATCTATCTATCTATCTATCTATCTATCTATCTATCTATCTATCTATCTATCTATCTATCTATCTATCTATCTATCTATCATTCTGTCTGTCTATCTATCTATCTATCTATCTATCTATCTATCTATCTATCTATCTATCTATCTATCTATCTATCTATCTATCTATCTATCATCTATCTATCTATCTATCTATCTATCTATCTATCTATCTATCTATCTATCTATCTATCTATCTATCTATCTATCTATCATTCTGTCTGTCTATCTATCTATCTATCTATCTATCTATCTATCTATCTATCTATCTATCTATCTATCTATCTATCTATCTATCTATCTATCTATCTATCTATCTATCTATCTATCTATCTATCATTCTGTCTGTCTATCTATCTATCTATCTATCTATCTATCTATCTATCTATCTATCTATCTATCTATCTATCTATCTATCTATCTATCTATCTATCTATCTATCTATCTATCTATCTATCTATCTATCTATCTATCTATCTATCTATCTATCTATCTATCTATCTATCTATCTATCTATCTATCTATCTATCTATCATTCTGTCTGTCTATCTATCTATCTATCTATCTATCTATCTATCTATCTATCTATCTATCTATCTATCTATCTATCTATCTATCTATCTATCTATCTATCTATCTATCTATCTATCTATCTATCTATCTATCTATCATTCTGTCTGTCTATCTATCTATCTATCTATCTATCATTCTGTCTGTCTATCTATCTATCTATCTATCTATCTATCTATCTATCTATCTATCTATCTATCTATCTGTCTGTCCGTCCGTCCGTCCGTCTATCTATCTATCTATCTATCTATCTATCTATCTATCTATCTATCTATCTATCTATCTATCTATCTATCTATCTATCTATCTATCTATCTATCTATCTATCTATCTATCTATCTATCTATCTATCTATCTATCTATCTATCTATCTATCTATATTGAAAATGACTTGCTGTGGCATTAATTGCACTAATAGAGCGTCCAAGGAGTCTCCACTTCATGTTTTCCGGTAAGTAAAATTATACACCATTCTGTGTTTAATTTCAAAGACGAGTCAGGTTTTTAAAGTTAAGAATTTATTACTAACACTTTTAATAATGTCAATTTGAAATGACAATTTTTAACAGACAATTTGATATTAAAACTTGTTTTGAAAGGCAAACCTGTGACTGAATGGAAGCTAAATGAAATGCGAGTTTTGGATGGAGGAGTTTGGTGAGGCCATGGAGAAAGACTATCGATCGGCGCCAAAGAGGTTCTGGCAAACTGTCCGGCGCCTCAGGAGAGGAAGGCAGCAACTCGCTCACACTGTTTACAGTGGGGATGGGGAGCTGCTGACGTCAACTGGGGCTATAGTCGGACGGTGGAAGGAATACTTTGAGGAGCTCCTCAATCCCACCTATGCACATTCCGAGGAGGAACCAGAGCCAGGAGGCCTGGGGATGGACTGTCCAATCTCGGGGACAGAAGTTGCTGAGGTAGTCAAACAACTACACAGCGGCGGAGCCCCAGGGGCGGATGAGGTTCGTCCTGGGTATCTCAAGGCTATGGATGTTGTAGGGCTGTCATGGTTGACACGTCTCTGCAACATTGCGTGGTCATCGGGGAAAGCACCTGTGGAGTGGCAGACCGGGGTGGTGGTCCCCATCTTTAAGAAGGGTGACCTGAGGGTGTGTTCCAACTATAGGGGGATCACACTCCTCAGCCTCCATGGAAAGGTCTACTCCAAGGTACTGGAGAGGAGGGTCCGATCGATAGTTGAATCTCAGATTGAGGAGGAGCAATGTGGTTTTCGTCCTGGCCGTGGAACTGTGGACCAGCTCTATACCCTTGCAAGGGTGATGGAGGGGGCATGGGAGTTTGCCCAACCAATCCACGTGTTTTGTGGATTTGGAGAAGGCTTATGACCGTGTCCCCAGGGACACCCTGTGGGGGACGCTCCAGGAGTATGGGGTGGGTGGCTTTCTGTTAAGGGCCATTCAGTCCCTTTACCAGAGGAGCGTGAGTTTGGTCCGCATAGCCGGTATAAGTCGGACCTGTTCCTGGTGAGGGTTGGACGCCACCAGGGCTGCCCTTTGTCACCGGTTCTGTTCATTGCCTTTATGGACAGAATTTCTAGGCACAGCCGTGGTGTGGAGTGTGTCGAGTTTGGTGGCAGGAGAATCTCGTCTCTGCTTTTTGCGGATGATGTTTTCATCCTAGCTTCATCCAGCGTTGACCTTCAGCTCTTGCTGGGTAGGTTCGTGGCCGAGTGTGAAGCGGCTGGGATGAGGATCAGCATCTCCAAATCTGAGACCATGGTTCTCGACCGGAAAAGGGTGGCTTGCCAACTCCGGGTCGGGAGAGAGGTCCTACCTCAAGTGGAGGAGTTTAAGTATCTCGGGGTCTTGTTCACGAGTGAGGGTAGGAGGGATCAGGAGATCGACAGGCGGATTGGTTCAGCGTCTGCAGTGATGTGGACGCTGAGCTGATCTGTCGTGGTGAAGAGGGAGCTGAGCCAGAAAGCCAGGCTCTCGATTTACCGGTCGATCTACGTCCCAATCCTCACCTATGGTCATGAGCTTTGGGTAATGACCGAAAGAACGAGATCGTGGATACAAGCGGCCGAAATGAGTTTCCTCCGTAGGGTGGCCGGGCTCAGCCTTAGAGATAGGGTGAGGAGCTCGGACATTCGGGAGGGACTCGGAGTAGAACCGCTGCTCCTCCGGATCGAAATGAGCCAGTTGAGGTGGTTTGGGCATCTGGTCAGGATGCCTCCTGGACGCCTCCCCGGGGAGGTGTTTCGGGCATGTCCTGCCGGCAGAAGGCCCCCGGGTCGACCCAGGACACGTTGGAGAGGTTACATCTCCAATCTGGTCAGGGAAACGCCTTGGGGTCCTGCCAGAGGAGCTGGTAGAGGTGGCTGGGGAGAGGACGGTCTGGAGCTCCCTAGTTGGGATGCTGCCCCCGCGACCCGGACCCGGATAAGCGGAGGAAGATGACGACGAGTTTTAGATGCGTGAATGAATCTCAGAAGGTTTCTTTCAGAGAGAGAAGCGTGTTTTGGGTGGAAAGTTGTTTTGCAGCTAACTGAGTTGTTCTTAGAGATAACAGCATACAGACGCAATCTGTCAAAAGTGTCTACCTCACCCAGATCAGGAGACCCTCTTCTGGATCTGAGATGTCAGGTGGAGATGATGTCCTCCGGGCACGAGGTTGGTAGAAGGACCTTAGTGCGACCAAATCAGTCCTGATATGTCTCCGTGGGTCACTCGACTGGTGAAACTATTTGCATCTCAAAATCAATAACTCTGAAGGAGTTTTGCATCAGCTGGTTACAGTTGCGTTTATTCGAAGCAAGTCTATCGGCGTGACAGAATGCTTAGTAGAGATTCGGGCGGCCGTCCCTCGTCTCCTGTTGGGTTCAAGAACTGGACTTTTTGCTGTGGGATTTGGTTTTAACAAAACCCTCAGAACACGCCCTCTCAGCGTCAGAAAGCTTGGTCATGAAGTAAAGACATGTGATGGTTTACCCTTTACCCTGGATCCCTTCTTCTGGATGAGGTGGTTAACGTGCAAGATGACCTTTTGGTTTGCTGAACACACATTAGGATTATCAACAATAATTATTATTAAACCCAAAGCATAATAAGTCATTTCAGTAATTAAAATACATTTATACTGAACCAAGAGATTATTTATGATGGTTGTAATAACAGCAATAAAGTCAAGAGTTTATTAAAATTATTATTTAAAATTATTATTGTGAAACTTGAGGTGTCCTTCATCTTGGGACGGAACAGCAGCAGATAAGATGTTGCTTCAGCAGACATCACGGCTCCTGGCGGGTTAATCTGTGGGGCAAAGTTACATCTAATGACTTCTTCAAATCTGTTGATCCAGTTTCGATCAGGTCCAGATTCAAACCAATTATTTGCAGTAACTATTTTTTCCTGTTTGCTTTTATTCCCTGAAAAAGCCCAACATGGAGAAATGTTAATTCTGTAAAAGGTTAGTTAAAAAGATCTCTCTTTCACTTTTATATATTAACCAGACTTTACAATACATCTGATGTTAACTTAAGGTCCAATTTAAGCTGTTGCAGAGTTCTTGGTGTGGTCCTGTTGCTCACATGGATAAACATAATTATTATGAAGTGGTTCAGACCTGAGCCCATACTGGGAATGTTCTATCCACCAGCTGCTCAGAATGAGACCAACCCTCCAAACTGGAGCAATCAGCTTGTGTTGTTGGAGACGTGACACCTCAGCGGCGAGGAAATCAGCCTCCATATGCTGGTCTAATCCAGACCAGGTGGTCCTGTCTGCTCCTATTAGAGGAGGCTTCCACAGGCCGGCTGGGATCTTCAGCTAACTCACCCAGGAGGTGTTCTCCTCTGTCTGATTTCTGACACAGACACATACGGTGGTCTGACCAGATCCAGGTGGACAGGAGGAGGCGGCGTGACTTCTGGCAGCACCTGGTGCAAGTTTTCAGCAGGTTAGGAGGACAACTAAATGACAGAAGTGGGAAAAGACTGCTAGAAATTCACATTATTGAACCATTTTAAACTTTAGAAATGAGTCATTACTAATTCATGGATTAAAAATGCACACATTATAAACCTTTATAAAGTTGTTATAATGCATTAGATTAGCTTGAATCCTATCCAGTAGAAATCCAGCTTCAGTGTTTGTAACCTGGTTATTAATCTATATATAAAGTACTAATAACTGCTGGTTAGGGTAAAGCGGTTCCTGAAGTTATAGGTGAAAATGATTCGGGGACATTTACGCTGTCTAATCATGGAATTTAGAGTAATTAGGGGAAACTAAAAGTAAAAATAAATAAATAAGATTACACATAAATATTCTGTGTATCAGAGTCATTTAGCTGTAAGGTGTGAAAGGTGGACCCAACCAGTCACCCAAACTGAAGGCTTTCATCTGAAATCAGCTGTCTTCTGCCACCAGACAGGTGAGCTTCTTCCACCAGGCATCAGAGAGGCTCCTGATCTTTTCAGGGGTCTTCCTGGTCAGAGTCTGCCTCAGCTGCTGGGGGCCCGTACTGTCTGCCTGCTGTATGCTGGCCAAGATGGCCAAATCAAACGTATCCTTCAGGTTCTTCTGAGTCAGAGCCGAGCACTCAGCGAAAGCCACGGCCCCGAGCTCCAGGGCCAGCCGCTGACCCTCCTCTGTGCTCACCGGCTGCTGATGGTTCTGAGCCAGGTGGATCAGCACCTGCACGTCCTCTCTCAGGTCCATCTGGGTGCCCACCAGAACCAGTGGAGCTCCAGCACAGAGCTCACGGACCTCCGGCACCCATTTGCCAGCAAGGTTGTGGAAAGAGCAGGGCTGGACCACGCTGTAGCAGAGGAGGAAGACGTCCGCGTTCCTGTAGCAGAGCGGCCGGAGGCGCTCCAACTCATCCTGCCAGGAGAACCAGAGGAACAGAAACAACGTGTTCAAGTGTAACCTTATGGTTCTGTGAGAGCTGCAGGGGTTTTGTAGCGTTTAGAAAGTCATGGCATTACACCGTCTAGCCATCTGCACTTGCCTGAAGATGCTTCTGAAACCAAAACAAATGCTGTTAACTCTCCAGAAGCCAGCTTGGGCCTGGGGAACCGCCATAACAAAGTTCCTCTCCTGCTTCCTCATCTCTGCTGCATGCCACAAGAAGTCTCCGGGAGAAGACAGGACTCGTAACCGTAATAAAGGAACCACACGCGTTCTACACAATTATATTCTTATTTAACAGATTCATGACAGAGCAATGAGTGCTTTATCTCAGGTGAATTTAATAAGACTTGACTGATGTTTTACACATTAAGCACATAACGAAGAAAAAATCTCCATCAACGCATCTAAAAAAATAAATAAAATATATTAAAAAATATTCAAAAACAAACTAAGATCAAAACCAATGCCTCCAATAAAAAGACATAAATCTGAAATTGCGGTGTTTGGATGTTAATCCTGGAAATATTTGGACAAGAGGCCAAGCTGTGGTTACTGACCACACTAACAGACCACCCAAGCAGTTTCTGCTTCTTTTTATCAGTAAGTAAAAGTATATTTCTGTACTTTATTCAGCTGGTTGAATGGGGAAATGCTGTGTCATTAACTGCTTGGTCAAACATGTTAGTGGGGCTGCTGAGGGATAAGAAACTTGAGCGGACGCCCGTCTTCTGTCTCCAGCTTGAGACGAGCTGCTAGAGCAGGGGGCTGGCTGTTCTCGTTTCCCGGGGCAACCAACGCACCGACCTGCTTCGACGCCAGACTGTAGTCATGCTGGTCACTGGTGGATTTCAGAGGGAGACCACAGAAACATTGAAGCTTTTTTAATTGATGCTGCTTCACTTTTGAGCCGCATTTTTTCTTGCTAAATGTTTCCTGTTAGAATGGGGAAATTCTATGCGTTTACCGTAACGCTGCTTGGTCTAGGATGGGTTGAAATCAGTTGAAATATAACGTGTTGGTGATGCTGCTGGGCATCTGACTGAGGATCGGGCTTTGCTGGTCCACCGTGGTGAAAGATCCACAAGTCCGCTATTGTTGTCTCCGTTCGGAAGCGCGACGTGAAACTGTGAGCCGAGTTCCAGAGCCGCAAGGGTTGACAACGGCGGACTCGCAGATTTTTGACTGCGGTGGACTACCTTACCTAGCTATGATTTTGTTACTAAGCAGGCCGGAGACGCCTTCACTTTGGAGTCGTTCTACCATGTTTTTCATGCTAAAAATGCCCGGAAAAACTCTGTTAGCTTTGGGTTAGCTTGTAGCTAATGTCCCGCTGATCTCTGACCATGCTCAGTGACGCACCCACTGACAAGCTGACTCTGATCATTGGCAGCTCCATAGTCAGAAACGTGGCATTAGAGACTCCAGTAACCATAGTTGAATGTTTACCTGGGGCCAGAGCGGGAGACATTAAATCTTATCTGAAACTGCTGGCTAAGGATAAGCGTAAATACAGTAAGATTGTTATTCACGCTGGCGGTAACGACACCCGGTTACGCCAATCGGAGGTCACTAAAATTAATGTTGCTTCGGTGTGTAAGTTTGCCAAAACAATGTCGGACTCCGTAATTTTCTCTGGCCCCCTACCCGATCGGACCAGTGACGACATGTTTAGCCGCATGCTGTCCTTCAACCGCTGGCTGTCTAGGTGGTGTCCTGAAAACAACGTGGGCTACATTGATAATTGGAAAACTTTTGGGGAAAACCTGGTCTGATGCGGAGAGATGGCATCCATCCCTCTTTGGATGGTGCAGCTCTTCTTTCTAGGAACATGGCCAGTTTTATTAGTCCTCCATGACAACCCAGGGTCCAGACCAGGAACCAGAGTCGTAGTTTAACCCACCCCTCTGCAGCTTCTGTACTGTTACCCACCCACTACCCCATAGAGACAGTGTCCTGCCCACGGCCAAAACCACACAGATTAAATATCAGGCTTAATAAAGCAAATCATGGAAATCTCATAAATATTAGAACAAATTCAACTGAGCAGAAAACTAGAAAAATTAAATGTGGGTTGTTGAACATTAGATCCATTTTTTCTAAGACTTTGTTAGTTAATGACTTGATTTGTGATAATCAGATCTCTTTGCTCTCTCTCACAGAATCCTGGCTGCAGCAAGAGGACTATGTTAGCTTAAACGAGTCGACTCCTTCAAATTATTTAAATCATCATATTGCTCGAAGTACAGGGCGAGGAGGAGGAGTAGCAACCATTTTTCATTCGAACTTATTAATCAGTCCCTTACAGATTAATAGTTACAGTTCGTTTGAACATCTCATTCTTAGTTTTCCTAATCCAGATAGCAAAACTGTAAAACCACTCTTGTTTGTAGTTTTATATCGTCCACCAGGCCCTTACTCTGAGTTTTTGGATCTGATCTGATTTTTTATCTGATTTGGTGCTAAATACTGATAAGGTCATTGTAGTGGGGGATTTCAACATTCATGTGGACATTGAAAATGATAGCCTCAATGTAGCCTTTAGCAATATCTTAGACTCAATTGGTTTCACTCAAAGAATACATAGCTCCACCCACTCCTGCCATCATACATTGGACCTTGTTCTGACTTATGGCATTGAGCAGGGGTGTCAAACTCAAACTCACAAGGGGCCGAAATGAAACTCTGGGACGGAGTCGAGGGCCAAACTTAATATTTTTTGAAAAAATGACGGCAAATTTGCACATTTTCTTTATCAACATATATGCAATTTAGAACCTTTAAATTTGGAAACAAACTTATTTCTGCATTAACACTGAATGTGGAATAACCAAATTACACACGAACAAGTCAGTTTTAAATAAAAGGCATCAGTGGTATTTATTACTTGTGGTATGATCAGCATTTTAAAAATCTATTCAGGATTTATGTTTTCTTGTTTATTCATTTTTCTTATTTTTTATTCTCCTTTTTTCTCCTGTAATACGTGTCATCGCTGCTGTGACGTCTAGCTTTCCCCACTGAGGAACAATAAAGGGTTTTTCTATTCTATTCATCTATCTGCAGCCTTTCCACTTCCTGTTTACTGTAGGTTAAATCTTTTCTCACGGGCCAACAACAACATAAAAATATAATTTTATCTTAAATGAAAATGCAACATCTCACCTGTTAACTTTCATGTTTTGGAGCAGAAAAAGAGCATCAAACCTAAATATTTAAAGCTCAGTTTGCTCCACTGGTTTACTGTGATGCTCACCTGTTCCAGCCAGATACCTGCATCATGGGGTTGATCTGAGCTGAGGAGGAGACTCCTGTTGTTTTGTTCATCTTCATCATAATAATGACAACATTAGATGACAACAGGTGCTCACATAGGTTTGTGCTGATGAACATGTCTGAGCAGCTTGGCCACGTTGTTGTGTGTCGGGGAGGAAACACAACCACAGAGTCGTGCTGGTTTGAGCGTGTCGCTGCTCGCTGGAGTTATATCAGTTCTGTCTGGACGTTAGTAGGAAAACTTTCTCTTTCAGTCGTGAACACGTTACTGAGCGGCTAGAATCTCCGTTTCTGGGCTTCAACGTCAGAAAACAGCTGAGTGAACTCGGCGCTGAGTGAGAGGAGTGTAGTTTGTCCGAGACAGCGGAGCTGCAGACACCGGCAGCAGGCGCTGGAAAAAAACACAAAGGAGGGGGTGCTTTGGCTCCGCGCTAATGCCACAAAGCATCATGGGAGTTGAAGTCTTTGTGGTAAAATCGGCCAGCGGGCCAGTTTTAATATATTTTTGATATTTATCTTGCGGGCCACATAAAAATGCTCCGCGGGCCGCAACTCTGACAAATGTGGCATAGAGTGTGAGGAAATAATGATCTTTCCACATAATCCAGTCCTCTCGGACCACTTTCTGATAACCTTTGAGTTTTTTATAACTGAGTTCTCGAGACATGAAAGTAAATTTCACTATAGTCGGTCTCTATCTGACAACGCAGTTGCATCTTTTAAATCAACTGTTCCATCTTTACTGTCCTCAGCATCTCAGAGGCATGTAGCAGAGGGCAATATTCTCAGTTCTAGCCCCTCACAAATTGATGCCTTAGTTCATCATGTTAATTCCTCTTCACGTGTGGCATTAGATGATGTTGCCCCTTTAAAAAAGAAGGTAATCAGGGACAGGAAGTTGGTTCCCTGGTTTAACTCTCATTTACGAGCCTTAAAACAAAACTCTAGGAAATTGGAGAGAGCATGGCGCTCTACGCACCATGAGGAGGCCTACCTATCCTGGAAAAATAGTCTTGTGCTTTATAAAAATAAGCTTCGACAAACTAGAACTGCTTATTTCTCAGCACTAATTGAGGAGAATAAGCATAATCCTAAATTTCTTTTCAGTACAGTTGCCAAACTTACACAGAATCATAGCTCTGAGCCATCTATTCCCTTAGCCCTCAGCAGCAATGACTTCATGGGATTTTTTACAAGTAAAATTAATTCTATTAGAAACAAAATCTTTAGCATCCTCCCTAATGCGATTTCTTCTTCCTCAGTGAGGCAGCTTCAGAGGTGACTGTAGAACCTCATCTGTGCTTGATCCGTTTTGATCCAGTTGAGCTTTCAGAGTTATCAAAAATATTAGCTTCATCTAAACCTTCAACTTGCATTTTGGATCCAGTTCCAACCAAATTATTTAAAGATGCATTTCCTTTGGTTACTGCCCCCATTCTAGATATAATCAATCTATACTTAGTAAATGGGTATGTACCACAGGATTCTAAGGTTGCTGTAATCAAACCTTCACTTAAGAAGCCTTCTCTGGATCCAGATGACCCAATGAATTATAGACCAATATCTAACCTTCCATTTTTATCCAAAGTCCTGGAGAAAGTAGTGGCCATCCAAGTATGTGAGGATTTAAACACTAATGATCTGTTTGAGGAATTTCAGTCTGGTTTTAGAGAGTATCACAGCACTGAAACTGCATTAGTGAGAGTTACAAATGATATTCTCATGGCCTCAGCTAAGAATCTTGTGTCTGTTCTAGTCTTGTTAGATCTCAGTGCTGCCTTTGACACAGTTGATCACAATGTTCTTTTAGAAAGACTTGAACATGTTGTAGGGATCAAAGGAACAGCGTTAGGCTGGTTTATATCCTACCTGTCTGATAGATTTCATTTTGTAAATGTACATGACAAATCATCTTCATACTCCAGGGTTACTTGTGGAGTACCACAGGGTTCAGTGCTTGGACCAATTCTTTTTACTATATATATGCTCCCAATTGGTAAAATCATTAGACAGCATGGGATAAACTTCCACTGTTATGCTGACGATACTCAGTTATATTTATCCATTAACCCTGATGAACCTAATCGGTTGGGTAGATTACAGGCTTGTCTTGAGGACATAAAACATTGGATGACTCTAAACTTTTTTGCTTGTATGGATGGTTTTGCTGGGATGACAAGTAGTTCAGTTTTAGAGAGGTTGAGTTGGAGATGGTGGAATTTCATCCATTTTGATATGTCAGAGAGACAGTTTGATATTCGTGCAGAAACAGTGTGGTCGTCCAGTGGAAATGACAGATAGAGCTGGGTGTCGTCTGCATAGCAGTGGTAGGATCGCATGATCTCACCCAGTGAAGTGGTGCATATGGCAAAGAGAAAAGGTCCTAGTACAGAGCCCTGGGGGACTCCCGTGGCAAGATGGTGCACGGTAGAAGATTGTCCAAGCCAAGATACACTGAATGATCGTCCTGTGAGGTACGATTCAAACCAGGCATGTGCTTTCTCTATGATGCCCATGCTAGAGAGTGTGGACAAAAGGAAGCCTTGGTTGACAGTGTCAAATGCAGCCGATAAGTCGAGGAGGATAAGCACTGAGGATTTGGCGGTCGCTCTAGCTTCTTTTAAGGATTCCGTCACTGCTAACAGAGCAGTTTCAGTGGAGTGGCCCTTTTTGAACCCAGATTGGTAAGGGTCAAGCAGACAGTTTTGTGAGAGGTATTCGCTCAACACAAAAAGGGAATGCCACTGCGTTGTCATATTTGCAGGAAAATAGGTAAGTAGTAACTATTAGTACTTTTTATTGATGGTGATACTTGATTTTTTGGGTTAGGGTTAGGGTTAAGGTTTGTGTCATGTAAAACACCGTAAAATTATTCTACGGGTAGGATGTTTTCTCAGAACACCGTAACGAACCCAGCCGTCTGTGCTTCATCTCCTAAATATTGCCTGGACCTGACTCTCACCCCTCTTCAGGATCAGTAGCCATTCCTTCTCCAAGTAAGACTGTTCCCCATAAAGACCCACCGTTCCTCTCCACAACCACCTCGCACTCACTTGTGTTTTGTTTCCTCTCAGACCCAGACTCCTGTCCCGTCGAGCCCCTTATGGATTTCGCGCATTGGCAAGGACCGATCAATAAAGACTTTAATTTTCTTGTCCTGCCTTTGATTCTGCACGTTTTGGGTTAGCCGTGTAAAGCAGAACATGACACCATCATCCTGTTCATTATTAGCTGTCAATGCAGCAGAACCGCAGACATCAGGTTGCTGATTCAAGTCTGCTCCATACACCACAGCAGGCATACGGCAAGCCACTGTAGCATTTAATTCACAAACGTGTCTATTTTCAAACGTAATTTAAAACTGATTATTGAAAATCTGTATATAATAGATGTTTCACCGTTACATTTTCAGTAGTAGAAATCAAATGTTGTTAGCATTTTCAGTTCCACTGAACATGTTAATGAAATAAATTAAATTCTACTGATCGTAGTGTAACTGTGGATATATTTATATATGCTATTTAGATTAAGATGAGTTATATTAAACAAACCTAAAATGTTACTGAAATGTAGATACCTTTTTGTTCATAGAATATCTAACTATGAATATCAGATGGGAAAGAGGGAACTATACAACAGCAGTTTAATAAATATTATAGGGAGTCAAGCGCATCTAGTTCTGCACCATGAATGCGAGTCAACGGGGCTAAAAACGTTACCGAGGGGCTCAAATCCCATTTAGAAGCAGATATCTGTGCTGGGATGAATTATAGGACAACATTCTGAGCTGTAAACGTTGGTGGGGACATGTCTCCATAGGTGGGGACATTTCTCCATAGGTGGGGACATTTCTCCATAGGTGGGGACATGTCCCCATAGGTGGGGACATTTCTCCATAGGTGGGGACATGTCCCCATAGGTGGGGACATTTCTCCATAGGTGGGGACATTTCTCCATAGGTGGGGACATGTCCCCATAGGTGGGGACATGTCCCCATAGGTGGGGACATTTCTCCATAGGTGGGGACATTTCTCCATAGGTGGGGACATGTCCCCATAGGTGGGGACATTTCTCCATAGGTGGGGACATGTCTCCATAGGTGGGGACATGTCTCCATAGGTGGGGACATGTCCCCATAGGTGGGGACATTTCTCCATAGGTGGGGACATGTCTCCATAGGTGGGGACATGTCTCCATAGGTGGGGACATGTCTCCATGAAAAGAGAGAAGTGATTTGGAGATGATGACTTACGTTAACAGATCCATCCATCAGGCCCCATTTCTGTCACAAACACAAAGACTCCGTTAAAGTCTGCAGCCGTTAAACGCAGTGTGTGTGTGTGTGTGTGTGTGTGTGTGTGTGTGTGTGTGTGTGTGTGTGTGTGTGTGTGTGTGTGTGTGTGTGTGTGTGTGTGTGTGTGTGTTAGGGGGGCTTACCTGTCCAGCTGTGTCACACAGCTGCAGTCGGACTGGTTTCCCATCCACCACCACCATCACTAGAAGAGCAAGAACAAGACAAGCACCAGTGAGCGGAAGGCTCTCCTCTCCCAGTACAGTAACGGGTTTGGCTCATGCGTAAACCGCGCGTAACACGCCTTCTACCAGCTGGTTACCGGTGAAGTTGTCGAAGGCGGTAGGCACATATTCGGAGGGGTACCCGTTGGTGGTGTAGCTCACGATGAGGCTGCTCTTACCCACCGCACCGTCACCGACCAGGACGCAGTTCACCCTGCGCTCCGGCGCGGATCCGGACCGTCGGCGCCTCACGCTCTGAGGAAAGTTCCGGTTCTTGAAGCGCCGCGGCGGGATCTGGGGAATGTCTCCTCCACCGAATGGGTCGGACACACGGGAGGGCTTCTGCTTGCCAACGTCCTGGGGCAGCATGGCACCGCTCTGAAGACAGAACCGGACTTACGGGTCTTCAGACTGGCTGTGAAGTCACTGCGTGCTCCATCATCCTACAGCGCTCTGGCGGTGTTTGGGTTACCGGTAAACCGAGCAGGGTGGAGGCGGGAGCTCCTCATTAGCCTTCTCCCTGCATCTGTCGCAGTCTAAGAGGCTTAGCAGCCCCACGAAGCTCCAGCTTCACATAAACCCAGGGCCGGCTCTACACAGTGTGGTGCCCCAGGCGAGATTGCTCCTTGGCGCCCCCCCCCCCCCCCCCCCCCCCCACACACACACACACACACAAACAGCAGCATCTGATTGATCTCAACAGTTCAATTTTAATATTTGAACAACAACAATAATGATATCTCAGTGTGGCTGAGCTAGCTGCTTCAGGGTGGTGTTGGTGTGGATCCGGGGTCTCAAACTCAGTTCAGCTGAGGGCCGCTGAAGGCAGATTCTGGGTGAGGCTGGGCCACTCTAGGTTTTCAACAAGAAAAACAATGTCCAAAAAACCATTTTCTCACATCTCTTTATTTTCATTTAACACTAAATAAGATGGAAAAATATACAACAAATGAGTAATGAATAAGAAAAGTAATCAGTAATGAATGAATAAAATAATTTGATTTCTCGGCGACTATTTGGCTTCTTTAGAAACCTTTATTGGCTGTATTCAGATTTAAATGATTAACAGTTCTTTAATCTCCTTCTGAACATTAGTGGAACATGAACTGTTCTGAACAGTTTCTCTTGCCTAATCCTTGCTGCTCGAGACCTGGCAGCGCCTCCTCTCACACAGCTGAGCGACATCTGGCCTAAGGGAGGAAGCAGTTGAGACCCTCAGTATGGCTTGAAGGTGATCATCTGTAAGTCTGGACCTGTAGTTGGACTTGTTGAAGTTCAAGGTGGAGAAGAGCTTTTTGCACAAGTATGTGCTCGCAAAAGGCTCATCATCCGCTTGAACATTCGGGAACATTCAGGGAAGCTAGGGGCCAGCTCTCTGAGAAACGGTCCAAGCTTGTCTGCTTTTCCATTCACCTCCCTGAACTTCGCTTTGAGTTCAGAGTTGCACTGCAGCTCAATCGGCTCCATTTGAAGCACAGGAGGAGCGCTGGGAAAGTAGGAGAGAAAGTATCACATGTTGTATTAGCTTAATAATCTGTTTTGTAGCGATGTCTTTTGTTTCACTGCCTGTTTCACCAGCTGTAACACTTAAAACCACGGCTGTGGTTAAAGGGTGGGTTCAGAAACGACCAGGAAACCTGGAGTTGCCTAGAGTCTCGTGCATGTCTCCTCGAGAGGAGACCTTTAATGCCACCCAGTGGGTGGAATATTGTAGGAGGTTGACACAGGGCTGTCCCATCCCAAATCCAGGTGAAGACTGTACCCCCACATCTACTGGCTGGCTGATGTGACTAGAACAGCTCAAAAGAGTCACCGACGGCCATAACTTTACTGATGGGCTGTAGGGATGGGAAGAAGGACACTCAGACTGAGAACTGCTTGGAGGTACCACCTTACGTGAGGTCACTCAAGATAGAATGGACATTCGGGGACTCCCTGTGGACTGGCTGGGGTGGAGGACGATGTCTTGGTCACCATGGTGAGAATATATTTAATGGCAATTTTTAGCAGCTGGATATGCAAATATCAGATGGACATACAACCCTAGAAAGGGGACCTTAAAAGCTCTTGTTCAGCTTTTATTTCAGAGTAATGCATGCTGAAAGAATGCCGATCAATCCTTTTCCTAATCAAGGAAAAAAGGCCCACTGCTATATATGTGGTTAATGATTAATATGCTGCAATATTCACGATGGGAGGCGGTAATTACCGTGGTCAGCATCATGTGATTCCAGGCTCACGGGTTACTACGTGTCTGGAAGCGTCTGTGGCATGATTTATAACAGTATATGTATATTTTGTGTTCTAGGATCAACACTTAGAAGTGTGAGGCCTTACTCATTACTATAATCATGCTACGGTCTCTAAGTTAGCTGGACAGTGTAGAGATGGTCTATCCATCATGTCTGCGGTGTGCACTGGGGGCGGAGAAGTGCTGCTGACCCTTAGGGGATGCGTGATGGTCCTGCATGAATGGAGGCTTAGAGCTGTGCCTACCCCTCATACAGGTCAGCGAGACAGAGGATATGCTGGACGACTCAAACTCTCAGGAGGTGGAAGCCCCTCCGCTAAGAGAACGGAGACCAAGGGTGAGGAGATGGGACCGTCTAGACGTGGTGCCGACTAAACGGGTTTCTCTTTGGTCTGGTAGACGGCCGACCTGTTGAGATAAACCTTAATGGGCCATGGGTCCATCTGGTTGGCAACGCTTAGTATTGGTGTCCGATGGGACAACACACAATCATCATCTCGCGTCCGTCATGTCGCCCCAGGGCAGCTGTGGCTAAATTGTGGCTCATCACCATCCGTGTATGAATGTGTGTGTGAATGGATGAATGATCCACAGTAGTGTAAAGTGCTTTGGAGTCCTTACTCTGAGAGGCGCTATACAGTTGCGGGTCATTCATCATTCATCATCAGAACCTTAATCAAAATTATCATCATAAGCATCATGACCATCACAGTCATCATCATCATCATTGTCATTATTATTATTATTATTATTATTACTATTATTATTATTATTATTATTATTACTATTATTATTATTATTATTATTATTACTATTATTATTATTACTATTATTATTATTATTATTATTATTACTATTATTATTATTATTATTATTATTATTACTATTATTATTATTATTATTATTATTATTATTATTATTACTATTATTATTATTATTATTATTATTATTATTATTATTATTATTATTACTATTATTATTATTATTATTATTACTATTATTATTAGTATTATTATTATTATTATTATTATTATTATTATTATTATTATTAAGGATGCGTCAGAGCATGCCCTCTGGAGTAAACCCCAAATGCAGATACCCAGAACGACATAGACAGTGAGAAGTTGCCAAAACATAAAAATCCTTTATTCAGCAACAGATAAGCAAGTCCAAAAGGCTCAAACCCAAAGTGCAGCTACCACAAGAATGCACAGGAAGTTTTAACTGGAGCACGAGGCGACACAAACAACAGACAGGAGAAATTCACTCACAACGAACCCACAAGCACTAAGAGATGAGACAGGGTTCTACACACAGCGGGTGGGTGATCAAGGACACAGGGAGAAGGTGTGGTCATTTACCTGAGTGGGGAAGTAGCAGAAAGCAGGAGAAGGAGATTAACTAAAATATAAACACAGAAGACTTAAGGGTTGGTGAGCTGATGAACCTAGAGACACAACAGGGCTGGGGAGAAGATAAGAACCTACGCTACATGAGGGACACCTGAGACACTAGAATAAAACTAGCAACACTAGATATTTCACTTGGGATATCAGAGAGATACGAACCAAAAGAGGGAATCCCTCATGAGTTGAGGACGTGGCGTGACCAAAGTTTGGTTAATTGAGGGCGTTTCTGAATGTAAATGACTGAGAACGGACACGAGCACCTGGGCACGCACTGCTGGAGTTTACCATCAGACGAGTCCAGAGCAACATATGAACGAGAGGCCACCGCAAGTTTCTTAAATCAGGATTTTGTCCGTTTGAATGAACATTCTAAATCACTTTCATAGGAATGACTTCAGGAATATTTCTAGGAATGTTTGATTAAAGAGGCCCCAGGTGAGCACAGGTAGATCATCCAGCCTCTCAAACTGAGCTCAGATTCTGGCTTCTCAAATCCAACATGGTGGTGCAGTGCCTGTAAGAGAGACTGGTGCTTTCCTGCAATGATTTTAGCACAAAGAAAGAAAACTATCTGTTGTGTAGCGCCTCTCGAGATGAAAACACCAAAAAAAATCAAGTATTTTTAAATTATTAAATATATAAAATATTTTATATTTTAAACAAAATGTTTATAATATTAAAAACGTTTTACATGATTAAAAATATGTTTAAAATGACAACAACAACAAAAACTGTGATTAAAAATGTAAACAAAGAGAGACATCAGTGAATCCTGGGAAAGGCAGAGCAGAACAAGGAGAGGGAGATGAAGGTCCCACCAAAGCCTGAACAGGTGAGTTTAAAGGAGACCACTGAGTCCACTGATCTCAGGCTCAGGGGGAGAGAGGTCCAGAGTCTGGGGGTCACAGCAGCAGATGATCTGTCACCTTTGACCTTTAGCCTGGTGCTGCACAACCAGTAGGCTTTGATCACTGGACCTCAGGGACCTGCTGGGGGTGTAGGGACTAAGAAGATCACCAATGTAAGATGGTGCTTGTCCATGTAAGGCCCTATAGACCAGAACCAGGATCTAGAAATGAACCCTGAAGTTGACTGGCAGCCAGTGAAGCTGGAGGAGAAGCGGGGTGATGTGGGTGTGTTTGGAGGACAGGGCACAGATGAGGATCTCAGTCTTACCTTCATTCAGCTGAAGAAAGCTCCCACCATCCAGGTTTTGATAGAGTCTAAGCAGGTGTGTAACAGCTGCAGCTTAGACATCTCATGGGGCTTAAAGGAGATGTACAGTTGGATGTCATCTGCATAAAGATGGTAGGAGATTCCTTTGAAGGAGCTCAGGATGTGCTGAAGATGAAGCAGATAGAGGAGGAAGAGCAGAGGCCCCAGCACATCTGTGTGGCAGTGCTGCCATCTATTGATATCTCAGTGTGCTGCTATGGTTTCCACTCGAGAGACAACAGTAGGTCCACCCCCAAAACCCGCACTTCCACCCTTTAGCTGAGCAATCCTGGCTATGGGTGCAAGTTCATAGGTGTCCTGACTCTCAAGTTTATGTTTATGATTATTTATTTGGCAGACGCTTTTATCCAGAGCAGAAGTGCAGGAGGTGACCCAAGTCCACATCGATGTGAAATCCAGGCATGGTTTTTACTCACAATTCATTGCTGGGTGGGAATTTTGAGAAGTCTGTGAAGCAACGGCTCAGGTACTCATTCTGAAAAATATGTATTTTCAAATGACAGAAATTCCTTTCAGGACGATTGTTGCAGCTTTAAGGCAAGGATGACTACCGGAGTTGAGTTCTCATTCATCTGTTTTATTTCGACGTCAGGTCACTGAAAACATGCAGCAGCTCCTGTCCTTGTGCTGCGGGTAAACCGACTCCAGAGACGTTCAAGGAACGTCCGTCAAAGCAAAGACATCAACGGGGAGTTCAATGCCATCTTGTGATTATGACTACTCTTGCAAATTAACAGTTCAAATGAAAAATAGACA